GACAGTGGTAAGATTTCCTGACAGGAATAGTAACCTGATAGTAATGGGGGACCTTGACATTAATGGGGGTCCTGTCAGCAATGGGGGCATCATTAGGTATTAGGATGTCCTGTCAGTCAGTGTTTGTGAATTGATGGAGGGCTTTTAAAGTGTTAGGCTCCTGGTAGGAAGGGGTGGCTTCTTCTTGGAGGAGATTTTTTGAAATAATGATCTGACAAGTATGAGATCACAAGGTGACTGAGGTTTTGATGGTGATGGATCCAGATTTCCAGGGACTGTGACTCTGAGATCCAGAGCCCTGGGGGATCAGGTTGTCCTGGTTGGACAAGGTGGAAGCTGCTGGGGTTAAAGCCATCCCACTTCCACTGGGTTGGAGCCCAGGGCGGTTCCTGTCTTCTGCCTCCCCACAGGACCCATGGAAGGCTAGAAGGTCCTAGGGACAGGAGCAGGGCAAAGAGGTCTGACTCCCCCATTTACTCTGATCCTCGGAGGTTTTACCCTCGTTCTTGTTCTCCTCCCCTGTCCTGCCTGATCCTGACCCCTCGGGAGATGGACATGGCCCTCAGAAGCCAGTCCTTCCGGAATCTGATCCCACCTCTGTGATCCCCAGATTCTCTGCCCTGTGGAGGTAGCACCCACTCTCGCTGACTCTAAAGGCTGGCCCCACCCCTTCCAGAATCCTTGCCCACACGACCCCCGTGTCCTGCCCCTACTTTTCAGGATCCCAAGCCCTACCCCTCATTCCTCCTGTCCTTTTAACATCCCCTGGTCCTGGCCTCCGATACTTGCCTGGGAATGGAGGTAAGGATGTGGGCATGTTTGTGGATGGACCTCCATCTCCACTGCTCCTCCTTGGGAATACTGAGACTTGAATAGCCTCGGAGAACTGCGCCTATTTCCTCTCAGCAATGCCACTTACTAGTTTAGTGGACTTGGGAGCTCACACTACCTCTCTGTGCCTCGATTTCCTCCTCTATAAAATGGGACTAGTGATCTCCACCTCATAGGGTTGTTAGAGGAAGCAGTGATATAATGCACATAAAGGACTCTGCTTGGAGCCTGGCACATGGTTAGCACCCCAAAGTTAATGGCTTTCCCTATTCCTTGAGAGCCACTTCCTCAGACCTGGTCCTGCTGTATTGTTTCCCATTTTTATTTAGGATGTGGGTCAACTCACGAGGTGGTATGTGTAGTAACTTAGAGTACAGATTCTGCAGCCAAACTGCCTCGCTGGGATGCCCCCGGCTCTGCCACTTTACCATCTGTCCAGCCTGGGCAAGTTCCTTAATCTCTGCACCTCAGTTTCCTTAGCTGTAATGTAAGAATGATACTAGTACTTAAAGCAGTGCCCAGCACTCATGGTGAACTAGCTAGTGCAACAGGGCTTGTCTTTCCATGTGGACAAGTCTCAGGAGCCACTGAGGAAGTCCTCTGACCAGAGGAGTGCCAGCTTATTCTTACAGAGGGGTTCTTGAGGAAATTCCCCACTTGGGAGTCCTGCTCCGTTGTGAGACTGTTATTTCCAAGATTTTTCTGGCTGTTTCTGAGTTTCCCGGAGGCCAGAAAAGGGGAGTCTGGGGGTGGGGGCTTACCGAGAAATCGAACATGAGCTGATGAAAATATGATCAAAACCGTATGGGGCTGGCTCTTACCACACACTTACCCATGCAACAGAGGCAGTCCCAATGTCTTGAGAACTGGATGTGCTCCAGGTATGAGTTGGGTGGGGCATCGTGGGAAAGGGCCATTTTCAGTTACATTTTTTGTTAATCAAATGAGTTCTGGGGCTTGTTCTATGCCAGCCCCAGAGCGGAGCAGTGTTGGCAGTGGAGATGAACAGGTCCAATCTCATTCTCTGAGAACTCTATCAATAGACAGGACGGGGAGCTTGTTGTCCATCCTGTAGATGGGAGCTGGGAGCTCTCTGAGCAGGATGTCAGGTCCCTTTAGGGAGATGTTGGCTGCTGGGGCCTTAGGCCTTCAGGGTAGAGAGTTTTCACTCAGCTGTTGGCCTTAAACCGGTAGCAGGCGCTGTGTGCCCTAGACAGGAAAGTGTCTTCTCAGAGGCAGGCAGCAAGGCCCCTGTATTCTGGTTGGGGAGCCAGAAGTCCATGCTGTCCCTTGGAGAAGGTGGCAGCCTCATCATTGTCAGGTAGGCAGGTCGGCTTCTGGCCTGCGAGAACTTGGGATAGTGACACAACCCTTGTCAGAAAATCATAGTAAAACAGGGAGCGGGTGTGATTAGATAAAGTGACAGTGCTGAGAATGTTTGAGTGGGTAGGGACAAGTCACAGATTGCTGGGTTAAGCCCTCATGTATCTGGCAGGGAGATAAGAGGCTAGCACCCAGTGCCCAGGAGGAGTTGGTGGCTGGGGGCAGGAAGGCACGGGCTGGAGAAGGGGTAGGGAGGGCTGTATGCCTGCTCTCTATGGTACTCGGGTGTACACCCCCTCAGACTTTCTTGAAATTCTTTATTCCCCAGGCCTCCAGGGTCTGGCCAGAGGCTGTTCGATCCAAGCCCCTTCACTAGCTCCTGAATTATTTTCTCTCTTCTTGAGTCTCAGTTCTTGCTTTGTTCCCAGAGGGTGGTCCCTGAGGCCCCAAGAAGTAGGGACATTTCTGAAGGTGCATGACTTTGGGGGAGCCTGTGTGAATGTTGGGGGTTTAGACCCAAAGGTTCATGAGTCAAATCTTTGGAGGGACTCTTAAAAATTAAGCACCTCTCCCCGTACACCTGACTGATGGGGAACTAAGGTTTTGGAGATGGGGAGTAAGGAAGAGACTTGCCTGGAGTGGCACAGTGAAGTGCTGAAGCAGGGCTGAGGGCTGGGCACTGAGTTCAGGACTTGTTCCTGTACCCCCCTCAGCGGAGTGGCAGGGAGGTAGCGTCCAGGGCCTCTGTCATAGTAACATCTTCCTCAGGGCTCCTGCCCTCACTCCCCTACTCTATCTGGGGTTTTCCTCCGAAGGGAGGTTTTCTGTCTTCCTCTGTGGCAGGCTGACTTCCACTTGGCTTCCCTGGGAACTGAGAAGGAGTTGAAGCAATGTGCCCCTCAAACACCTGTGTTTGTCCTCTGCCTGCTGGGGCACAGGGCACAGGATCTAAAAGGTGTCTGTAGCTGGGCCCCCGGGGGCCCCATGGTTGGCTGCCTTAATGGATGAATTAATGGATGGATGAGTAGATGGGTGGAGGAGCGGATGGATGGATGGCAGTCTAATGGGTGCAGAGATGGCTAAATGGATGGGTGCACAGGTGCACGAGTTGGATGGCTCATTTCCTCCAGGCAGCAGGGCCACAGCTGTAACAGTTGTTCTTGCATCCCACCCACTCCTGGGGCTCTAGGAGATGGGATATCTGAGATTTTGAATACCTTACTTCTGGGAGCAGAGGGGAGAAGGAAGCTGCTATGCACTCAGCTCCGTGAGGAGGGGCTGGCACAATCCCCTCACCACTGCTCCCCTTCCCAGACTGCCCAGGCCTGGCTTTGTTATCAGATGAGGTATAGCTGGTAAGTGATGACCCACCCCTTCCCAGGTAACAATGCTCAGTCTGCTGTCATATAGCTGTCATCCAACCCCAGTGCCACAGTCTTGCTGCTCTCAGTGGGACAAGTCCTTAGAGGCCCAAGTGGGAGACCAGCAGCTTCCTCAGGGGACTTACCAGGCGTGAGGAGTTCACTCCTTCCAGAGCAGCCCTGTGGTATGCTCCAGGCATCACAGCGCTTTCATCTCCCGAAGAGGAGACTCCTCTGTAACTCCCTGATCTTTGTGTTGCCTTGGCTCAGGTGCCCTGGGGGCTGCAGGGCTGGTGGTGGGGTTCCTCCATGCTAAATCTTCCTAGCTCCCTGGCCGCTCCTTCTTCCACCCTCTGGGCCCTCTTCCACTCTGCCTTCTGGCTCCCAGGTCTATCTGTCAGTATCCCTGACAAGTGTGGCCCCAGGATTGCTCAGATGGGGCTGGACCTAGCCCAGCCTCCCTGAGTGAGAGAGGAAGGCTAGCCCAAAGGTCAGATTCTGTGTGGACAGATAGGCCCTCACCGCTGGCTATTGAGCCTTTCCTCACATATGTACTCATTTTCTATTTTTTAAAAATATTTTATTTATTTATTTGACAGAGGGAGACACAGCGAAAGAGGGAACACAAGCAGGGGGAGTGGGAGAGGGAGAAGCAAGCTTCCCGCGGAGCAGGGAGCCCAATGTGGGGCTTGATCCCAGGACCCTGGGATCATGACCTGAGCCGAAGGCAGACGCTTAATGACTGAGCCACCGAGGCGCCCCTCTACTCATTTTCTAGACAAATATTTATTGAGTGACTACTTTGTGCCAGGCAGTGAGACCACCAGGGAGACAGTGGAAACCAAAACAGACGTGATCCCTCTTGAGGAAGGCTGACAAACTATCAGTTATAACCCAGTGTGATGAGAGCTGCAGGGGAGAGGGGCAAGGGCCCTGGGAGCTTGGGAGGGAGGGAGGCTACTTAATCTAGCCTTGAGGGGGGGGGGGGGGGGGTGCTTCCTGGAGAAAGAGTCATCAAGACCCAGATGGGAAGGCAGGTGAGCCGGTGAGAGAAGAGTGTTCCAGACAGAGGGAATGGCGGGGGCGGATGAGTACTTTCCCTGCTCCCGGCAGCAGAGTTGGGCCTCTTCTTGCCCCCAGCCAGGAAAGCTGGTTCTTGACAACTCCCTCCCCCCTGGTGACACCTGATCCCTGAGACACCTGGATACTTTGCCTTGGAGGAGAAAGACTGGGAGGCGTGAAAGAGTTTGGCTCAATCAGAGAACAGGCACAGGTTTGGTGTGGCTGAACCGTGGAGAGTGAGTGGGCTGTGAGGGGACCAGGTGGGGCTCTGATGATGGGAATTGGTCCCGAGAACGCAGGGCGCTAAGGAGGGGTCCATGAGGAGGTTGCTCAGGTTGCAGAGGGAAAATGAGATCTGCCATTCCATCTCCCCATTTCCTACTCTGGTCCTCCTGGACAGACAACAAACAGCAGACAGACAGATCCGTGGGTACCAGTTGGGCTTTATTGGAAGCACTGTGGTCTGGGTGTGGAGGAGAAGCTGCACTCCTGCTACGCCACACTCACCCCTGCTCACACTCACACTCACACTGACGCTCCAGGCCCTGTCCCGGCTGGAGTCAGTTCTGGTGCAGAGCCACTGGAGGCCTGGTCCTCCCTTTTTTTTTGTTTGTTTATTTGTTTTCTGGTCCTCCCTTCTGATCCTTGGTTCCCCAGGGCTGCAGTGAGTCACATCCCTTCACTCAGATGCAGGGCTCCCTCCGGGGCTGTCAGGGGCTAACTGCCGTGGCGCTTGTTCTAGGGGAGGAAGGAGAGGGTCATGGGTTGGGGTCTTGGGCAAGGGCTCTGAGGGAGGAGGCAGGGCTGGGGAGGGCCGGGCTTGCCTTTGCAGAGTTCTTCTGCAGTCTCCGGATGATGCGGTCCACCCAGGGCTGGTCTGGAGGTGCACAGAGCTGGTGACCCCTCAGTGTGGTGAACCTGGAGTCAGAGGTCAGAGGTCAGAGAGAATGTAGCCCTGGAACCCAGCCTCCTGGCAGGCTCTTGGTGTGAGGGGCAGAGACTGGGGACCACATCTGGGAGCCTGTTTCAGGGGCTTCCTTGAAGAGGCTGGGCTTGGCAAAGAGAAGGCAGATAGGAAGGTGGGGTATCACCGGTGGCTGCTGGCGGAGATGAGGCTAGACGAGCTCCTCCCCACAACTCACACAACGGCAGGCACTCTACAGCCGTCCTTGATGAGGAGGTGGCGAAAGGCTCTGACGATGTTCCCTGGGATGGGGCGCTGGTTTACAGACAGGCAGCAGTCTTCAGCGTCGTTGGCACCACCCAGAGCTGGGGTGCGGGTGGGAGAAAGAAGGTAGTGTCAGGACACAGGGACCCTGAGGAGGGGAGGCCACGGCCCTATGGCCCTAAGTGGGATTAAAGAGAAGTGTGTGTGTGTGTGGGGGGGGTGCTTAAACCTGTCATTCAGCCGGTATGGACCCATATGGCCCTAATGGTTGCTAAATATATTGAAGTACTTCTAAGCTGTTTGGTAAACCCCAACCTCTCCCCCAGGACCTGCATAAATGAAGAGTTGATGCTGCTCACAGCGCGGGGTTGGGGAGGAAAGGTGAGGAGTGAGGGCTAGGGTAGTAGGAGACTGGGGTTAGAGGAGTTATGAATTGTTAAATATTTGGACTATTAGCCCTGTCTCAGCATCTCCCATTCTCTCCACCGTAAACAAATATATACTGTTCTCTCCTGTCTGGGAAACAGAGGCAGCAGGAAAGAGAGGCTGAAGAGAGAAGGCTCGTGCTCAGCCCCGGGACACACCAAGAGACCGACAAACATTGAATTCAGGGGCCCAGTCATACCCACACTCACAGGGCTCAGGGAACCCTCAGGTTCACCCAAACATGCAGACCTAACTCCGTGTCCCTCACATCCAGCGCCAAGTAGTCTGAGATTTAGACACCCCCTCCCCCATGCCCACCATAAGCCTTCCCTCAGCCTTACCCGGGGAGGTCCAGAGAATCAGCAGGCTGAAGGCCAGTATTGCAGCTGCTTGGGATGCCATGGACGGCAGACGGAGGCAGACCAACCGTGAGACAGTGAGCACGGGGAAATCTCTGGGTGCGGGGCCGGAGTCTTGTGAGGCTGAAACTTGGCTGGCAGTGGGAGGGAGCAATGGGAAGTGCACAGGCGTCCTTGTGGGCTGTGAGGGGTTCTGGGAATGTGTGTGAAAGCCTGTGTGAGGCTGCAACTGCCTCTTATTTATGGCTCAGAACTTTCACTTTCCCTGCTCAGAAATTCCCCTCCACTTCCATTCCGTGGATTCCCCTTTGTCCCCCTCTTTCTGACGGAACCTGCCCCTGCCCCCCTTCTTCCTGCCTCAGTAGCTTCCCTACTCTTCTGCTTTTTTTGGCTTCATCTCTGAGAATCTAAGCAGTCCGCACTCTGGCCAAGAGAAGGGACCTCGCCATGTCAGCCAAAGATACAGGGTCTGCAGTATGGCCTTCTTGGTGGCGTTTGCATCATGAACCATAGGGCTGGCTTTCAGAGGTGATGGTTCGGTTTGGGGGGTCAGAGTGAGGGGTTGCATCCCCTTCCCTAAGTTTATCCCTCATTCTCGTTCTTGTCTCTGTGGTTCTTCTCTTCTCTCTGGTGCAGGTGGTGGTGAAGAAGGCTCTCTGGTCCTTTCAGAGCAATCACGAAGCCTGGGGTAATCTCCCTATGCTGCCCATCTGTTATCTGGGAACCAGTCCCTTCCTTGGGACAAGCAGAGTCGAAAGGGAATGTTCCTTGGGAAGAGGCTCAGCACCCATCTCAAGCCTCTGGGATTCAACCTCTTGGCTCAGCCAGCACTGGCCCTTTCTCTATTTGCCATGTTCATATGTCTAACACCTGGGTCAGCAGAACAGCTGGAGGGAGCTGGCCTGGAATAGTTCCTTTCGTCTTTCCCCTGCTCTAAATCCTGGGAACCAAGAGGGGATTTTTAAGGAGAGGGGCTGGTCAGCTCATACTCAGACAATCCCCAAATTTCAAGGAATCGACAGACGAAGGAAGGGACACTGATTTCCCATCCTTATGAGAAAGACCAGGACTCAAAAGGGAAACTAATATGTGGAACACCCTTTCAACCATCCCACCCAAGTTCTGGACCCTCTTTTGGATGGGGTGGTGTTTCTCTCATAAATTTCTGACTTACCTTTCTTTCCATCCATTAATAATAATAATAGTAATCATATTTCTTATCATTTACTCTGTTAGGCTCTGTATCAAGGACTCCACTTTACTAACTTTCCCAACAAAACTACGAAGTAATTTTTATTTATTTATTTGTTCATTCATTCATTCATTTTATTTATTTATTTTTGAGAGAGAGAGAGAGAGAGAACATGAGTGGGGGGAGGGACAGAGGGAGAAGCAGACTCCCTGCTGAACAGGGAGCCTGATGTGAGATTCGATCCCAGGACCCTGGGATCATGACCTGAGCTGAAGGCAGATGCTTAACCGACTGAGCCACCCAGGCACCCATAATTTTTATTATTAACATATTACTATTTCTATTTTACACGTAAAGAAAATGAGGTTCAGAGCACAAGACCCTATAACAAGTAAGTGTCTTGTACCTAGGTGTCTTTTGCTGTAAGGTTACACTCTTTACCACTATCCCATGCTGCCTGTCTGCCAACTGTCCATTGATCATAGAACAGTATAGATGAGTGAGACTCTACAGATAGAATGCCTTGCTTGGGATTCAAATTCCACCACTTGCTAGCTGTGTCACCATGCGCAAGTTATCCAGTTCCTGTGTCTTAATCTATAAAGTAGGAATGGTACTAGATCTACTTCTCAGGATCAAGTGAGGTAATCCAAGTCCTTAGTTTAGAGGCTGGCACATAATAAACACTCATCAAATATTGACCATTGTTATTATTCTATCCTTTCATTCAGATATATGTCAGTTCATCTATCAATCCATTTTTCATTGATCTATGCATCCCCCTGCTTCTGGTGGTTCTGATTATTCCCTGTTGTCCACCCTCGTCCATGCTCTCACTCTTCTCTACCCTGTTCTGTTTTCTGGAAGGCTGACCTCTCTAGACTGAATTACTCAGGATCCTTGCCCTCCAGCTTCTGTTTGAGTTTGGTCCACAGGAGGCAGCAGCAGGAGATCAGTGGGTGATAGGAGAGAGAGGTTAAGTCCCCAGATTCTTCATCTTGCTGCAGTCCTGGATACGAATAATTTTCTTTTTGGTAGTTGTTTTCAAAGACAGTTCTTCAGACAGCAGCAGCAGCAGCATCACCTGGGAGCTTGTCAGTTTATTGATATTGGTGCCCTCATCCAGTAACTGTATTAGCTCAGCACCTGGGAGTGATGTTAATAGTCTGTTGGGTTGGTTACTGGAAGTGTAGACTCAACAGTGGCCTTTGATCAATGAGGTTGAGATGTTAGAACCTCACTAACATATTGTAGAACAATGCTTCTTAAACTTTAATGCGCATGTGATTTACATGGGAGTCTTGTTAAACTCTAGATTCTGATTCACTAGGTCTGGGGTGAAACCTAAGATGTTGCATTTCTAACAAACTTCTAAGTGATGCTGATGCTGCTGGTTCTCAGACTATATGAGGAGCAAAGTAGAGGAAGGAGTGCAAAGTTGAGAGAGATGGGAATGTTGGAGTGTACCTGTGATGTGCAACCACTAACTGTACACCTCTGAAGGGCCCAAAAAGATGCTTACTTCTCCAAGGCAACAAGAAAAGTATTAATGAGGGGAACAGTAGCTTCTTTGAAAAGCACTGTAGTGGCTTCTTTAGGAGGCAAGAGATGGGGATAGGAGATGCCTTCTTGGGACTGGGCAATCAAGGGGGATAATGGAATCCATGAGTGGTAGAGGTCAGATGTTGGCACCTAACCAAGAGCAATAAGGTAAATGAGATTACTATATAAACTGTAGGGACAAGTGGTAATTTATGCGCTTTGCCCACAGGGATCTGTGGTGTTATCTAATTGATCATAGTGTTCCTAGCAATGAAACAGATGGACAGCTTACTGATGTGCTACTTGATCTGTGTAAGTGGAAACATCCAGCCCTGGTGGGCAGAAATTTGATCCAAATTGTATTGTACAGTCTTTTACCCAGTTCCTCTACTTAAGTCATTTTCCTAGACTCAAAGCCCTTTGGTCAGGTGGGAGGTGGGAGGGTGTGAGTCTCTTTCATGGGTGGATTCTATAAATCTTTCTCCCAGTTAGTGGTTTTCCTAGTGCATCTCCAACAGCATCTGCATCACCTAAGAACTTGCCAGAAATGCAAATTGTTGGGCTCTGCCCCAGCTTCACTGGATCAGAAACTCTGCAAGTGGTCCAGCAATCTATACCTTAACAAGCCTTTCTTGTGATTCTGATGTATGCTAAAATTTGAGAATGACTACTCCAAGCCTTCTCTACAGAGGGATCTGTAGCCATTTGCTAGGGTGAGTCTGAATGTGGAACAGGACATACTCAGACCTTTGGGGCGTTATTAGCTACAGTCTATCTTATGTTAATACTAGTCTCGGGGACCCAAAATCCCACTGTGGTCCACCAGTCAGAGTAAGGCTTAATAGAGGTCAAGTGATAGAAGGATCTTGATCCAGATCCATCTCACAGTGGGTCTGTTAATAGCTGCTCACTGGTTATTTCTCTAGGTTCAGAATGTATAGTGGGAATAGGTATACTCAGTCATTATCCAAATCACACTGGTTCCTTGACCATGGAGTAAGGAAAATTATGGTAGGAAGGGCCAAGTGGAAGTCCTTTGAACTGTGCTTGCCCTACCACATTCCCTGCTACAACAGGAAACATAAAATTAATGCTACATTCCTAGAGAAATCGCATAGATTAAAGCACCTTCAAAGACTTAAAAGATGTCATAGCCCTTGGCACTGGGCAATCTTATTTCAAGGGGAATAATGGAACCCGTGAGGGCTAATAATCTAACACATTCCTTTTTTCTATATCAGTCAATTAAAGACCATTGAAATCGGTTTTTTTCTTTTCTTTCTTTCCTTTATTTTTTGAGAGAGTGTGAGTGTACAGAGTTGGGAGAATGAGGTGGGGAGGGACAGAGGGAAAATAGAGAATCTCAAGCAGGCTCCATACCAACTGTGGAACCCAGTTTGGGGATAGATCTCATGAGCCTGAGATCATGACCTGAGCCAAAATCAAGAGTCAGATGCTTAGCTTACTGAGCCACCCAGGTGCCCCAGAAATCAGTTTCTTTTCAATAGGAATGACAGGTGTACACTGTCACTGTCTTACCACAGGGATATATCAATGTTCCTGCTCTTTGTCATAAGATAATCTTGACATCCCAAGAATATCAACTGACGACATTATGCTTACTGCCTCTGGCGCCTAAGAAATAGTAATCACACTCCTAAAGCCAATATTATACCATATGTTAACTAACTAGAATTTAAATAAAATTTTGAAGAAAAAAAGAGCAATCACCCTAAATGCCTTAGTAAGACCCATATATGCCAGAGAGAGCGAGAGAAAGAAATCCTACAAAAATCCAGGACCCTGACACATAGGTGAAATTTTTAGGCCATTGTGGGTGGAAAGAAACTGAAAAATGGTGGTCTGTGGTGTGTTGCACCTTCACCATGAAGAAAGAGACACAATACTTAAAGGAAGTTTGGATTTTGGAGGCAACATATACCGTATTTAGGTGTAGTGTTGCAAAATATTTATTGGATATGACGTGAAGCTATGGTTTTGAATGAGGCCCAGAGCAAGGAAGGGCTGGGCAGCAAGTCCATTTCCAGGAAAGTTGCCCTGCTCCTTGGGTCTTATGGCTCATAAATCCATTGAACTTCAGCTTTTCTGTGGCAGAAAATGTTGCTATAGGAACCTCAATGGGAGAATTACACCTTAGGGTGTTGGGAGTAAGGCCACACCTCTTCTGCTAACAAGTATTTTCTATTTGAAAAGCAGCTCCTGATTTGCCACTGGGCCCTGGTCTAAAACTCAGACTCTAGTTCACCCAGTGACAATGTGGCCCAAGGGTGTTACCGATAGCAAATGATATAGTTGGATGTGCAGAACAGCATTCCATTGTTAAATGGTCATTGTACATATGAGCTCAGGCCTTAGAAGTTTCAGAAGGCATGAGTAAAAGCGTGGGCAGGGGGCTCAGATTCCTATTTGTATTGTTTCTTCTTCTGATCACATTCACATCTTCAT